GTTTGAAGATTGAAGATGTTTCTTTCGTTGAAGGATTAAAATTTAATTTGTTGAGCACTAGTCAATTTTGTGATAAAGGCTATCTTGTAGAATTTTCTAAAGATAATTGCCTAATCAAAAATGAGCTCACAAATGAGATTATTTTATCTGGAAAACGGCGAAAGAATATGTATATTGTGGATTGGAGCACTAGCAAAGATTCAGTGTGCTTAATGGCCAGAAATTCGAATGAAGCTAATTGGGAATGGCACAGAAAGCTCAACCACTTAAACTTCAAGACCATCAATCAACTTGCAAAGAAGAATCTAGTAGAAGGCTTGCCAGATATTATCTTCAAGAAGGACCAAGTGTGTGATGCATGCCAACGCGGATAGCAAATCAAATCATCATTCAAATCAAAGACACACGAGTCAACGTCAAGACCGCTAAGCTTACTACATATGGACTTATTTGGACCGGTTGATCCAATAAGTGTAAGTGGTAAGAAATATACTCTCGTTGTTGTTGATGATTTTTCCAGGTACACTTGGACCGTGTTTCTCAAGAAGAAAAACGAAGTTGAGCAAGTTCTACCGAAGCTGTTGAAGCAACTACAAAATGAGAAAGAATTGCAAATATCAAAAATACGAACGGATCGCGGAATCGAGTTCGTGAATGGAGTTATACAAGCTTTTTGCAATTCACATGGAATTTCTCATCAATTATCTGCCGCAAGAACACCGCAACAAAACGGTGTTGCCGAAAGAAGAAACCGGACGCTCAAAGAAACCGCACGAGTGATGATTAGTCTGCCGGTCTCCCGAAACGCTATTGGGCGGAAGCTATCAACACTACTTGTTACACACAAAATCGAAGCATGATCCATAAGCAGTACAAGAAGACGCCATACGAGCTATATAAAGGGAGAAAACCAAATATTGGTTACTTTCATATTTTTGGATGCAAATGTTTTATTCATATTAATGATAAATTGCATCTAAAAGCTTTTGATGAGCGTGCAGATGAAGGAATTTTTCTAGGATATTCGACTACCAGCAAGGCGTACAGAGTTCTGAATAAAAGATCAATGGTGGTTGAAGAATCCATACACGTGGTATTTGATGAAAAATCACAAATCAAAAATGGTGCTCTGAACGAAGAAATTGCACAAAATGGTAACAAGTGTCATATTGATTTTTGTGATACTAATGATACGTGTGAAGATGATGTTTTGCAGGGAATGGATGAGTTTGAAATTAATTCTCTAGAAAATCCCATCCCTCACCCAGAAGAAGTTGGAAATTCTTTAAATAATAATTTTGGGAGTGATGCCTCACGTGGGAATGGAAATGCAGTACAAGTTGGTGATCCAATTAATGATCAAATTGCATGTGATGTTGGTAATCAATTTCAAGACAATTTAATTAATGAAATTCGAACCAACACTGCAAATTCACAACAAATGGATCCACCCAGTACCATGCACCCATTTCAACCAGATTTAAGATGGCTCAAAAATCATCCTCCAGAATTAATTATTGGGAATATCCATGAAGGCGTGAAAACAATATCATCTACCATGGAAGCACTGTTCACGTGTTATCTATCTCAGATTGAACCAAAAGAAATTGACGAAGCTCTCAATGATCCGGATTGGATAAATGCTATGCAAGAGGAGCTCGATCAATTCAAAAGAAATGATGTTTGGGAACTTGTTCCAAGACCGCCGAACCACAATGTTGTAGGAACCAAATGGGTCTTCCGGAACAAAGCAAACGAAGAAGGCGTGATTGTTAGGAATAAAGCAAGGCTCGTTGCAAAAGGATACTCTCAAGAAGAAGGAATTGATTTTGATGAAACTTTTGCACCGGTGGCTCGACTTGAAGCAATCAGAATTTTCCTAGCCTACGCCGCACACAAAGATTTCACCGTTTATCAAATGGACGTGAAAAGCGCATTCTTGAATGGTCTACTCGAAGAAGAAGTTTATGTCGAACAACCCCCAGGTTTTGAGGTAAAAGGCGAAGGTGATAAAGTCTACAAACTTAAAAAGGCATTGTATGGGTTGAAACAAGCACCTAGAGCTTGGTATGATACTTTGTCAATGTTCTTGATAAGCTGTGGATTCACCAAAGGCCTTGTTGACAAAACTCTATTTAGAATTCAAGATGGTGATCATATTTTATTAGTGCAAATATATGTTGATGATATTATTTTTGGAAGCACTAACAATTCTTTGTGTGAGAAATTTTCGAAGCTTATGCAGAATAAATTCGAAATGAGCATGATGGGTGAATTGAATTACTACTTGGGCTTACAAGTCAAACAACTGAAAGAAGGAGTATTCATCAATCAAGCAAAGTACACCCGCGACTTGATAAAGAAGTTTGGCCTTGATGGAAAATCATCGATCAAAATTCCAATGAGCACATCAATAAGGCTAGACAAAGATGAAGATGGAAAGGATGTCGATCAAACAAAATATAGAGGAATGATTGGTTCACTTCTATATCTTACTGCAAGCAGGCCGGACATTTCTTATGCTGTGGGCGTGTGTGCAAGATTCCAAGCAAATCCAAAAGAAAGCCACCTCACCGCAACAAAGAAGATCATACGATATCTGAAAGGCACAATCAATGTTGGATTGTGGTATCCAAAAGGTACAGATTTTACTCTAACGGGTTTTTCAGATGCGGATTTTGCAGGTTGCAAAATAGACAGAAAAAGCACTTTCGGGACATGCCAGTTCTTGGGGGGAAGGCTTGTTTCTTGGTTCAGCAAAAAGCAAAATTCCATCGCAACTAGTACCGCCGAGGCCGAATATATTGCTGCAGGAAGTTGTTGTGCGCAAATTTTGTGGATGAAGCAACAATTGAGGGATTACGGAGTTAATTGTGATGACGTTAGTATTTATTGTGATAATACTAGTGCAATCGCTATCACTCACAATCCGGTGCTTCACTCAAGAACCAAACATATCGACATTCGACATCATTTTATAAGGGATCACGTTGAAAAGAAAAATCTGAAGATCGAATATATCCCTACGAAAAACCAAGTTGCTGATATTCTCACGAAGCCTTTATGCGAAACGAGATTTTCTACCTTAAGGCACGAGTTGGGAATGATCGAAATGAGCTAAGTATCACTGAACTTAAACTCTCTATTTAAATTGATACTTGTGCTCAAAATTAATTGCTTTACGTGGATAAATTGTTTTATGTGTTTCTATGCATGTTTTTATTCGAAATATTTATGTGATAAAATTGCAATATGTGTTAGGAATTTATTTGTGTATTTGCATGTATTATTTAACGTGAGATCATATGCCATGCAAATTAATTTGATAAAATGTGCAATTCGTGATTTATTTGATAATTTGTTTAAAATTGCATGTTTTAATTTGTTAATCAGTTTTTGAGTATGTGTTCATGTTTCTGTAAATTAACTAACTTGTTTGCATGAACAATTTGCTCTAAAAATGATTTACCATGTTTATTTGATAATATATATGTGCTATGTGCAAAATGTGATTTAATATGTTATTTGTATGTGTGTTTCGTATATATGCAGTATATGTGATATAAATTGCTATAAAATTTTTTAGAAATCTAGAAATTAGTATTTTTGTTAGTTTCTAAAATATTTTGGAATCTGATTAATATGTTTTTTTTTTTTTTTTTGCAACACAAATCTGAGGCAAGACCTCTAATCAAAGGCTTTTATAATATGGTCTTCACACAGTTTGGTGCTTCTATTAAGGCTTTGCGTAGTGACAACGGTCCGGAGTTTAATATGACAGATTTTTTTCATGAAAAGGGCATCATTCATCAGAGGTCTTGTGTAGAAACTCCGCAGCAAAATGCGATCGCTGAAAGAAAACATCAACACATACTTGCTGTTGCTAGAGCCTTGCGTTTTCAAGCTCAACTCCCTCTTGATTTTTGGGGCCATTGCGTTATGCATGCCACATTCATAATTAATCGACTTCCATCACCGGTTATACAAGGGCTCACTCCTTACTGCAAGGTGTATGGCAAAGACACCACTATTGATATGCTTAGAGTTTTTGACTGCTTGTGTTATGCTTCCACTCTATATCATGGCAGACATAAGCTAGCTCCTCGCAGCAGGATGGGCGTTTTTATTGGTATGCCGGCCAATGTTAAAGGCTACATTCTATACGACATTCAACAAAGATCTACATTTGTGTCTCGAGATGTAATCTTTTATGAGAATCAATTCCCATATGCCAAAGAATCTCTTCAACATGAATCAGTCACAGAGGCATTCACTCCTTCATTGCCCAACATTCCCATTTCCACACCTATCACTTATGAGTAGGATGGGTCAAAACAAGTACATGATGATTTGCCCAACAGTGGGCTTAATACAGAAATGACTACCGGTATGGAACAAGTAGAAGATTTGGAAGCAGTTCATGATCATCAAAGTAGTCAAATGGACAAATTGCAGGCCCCTAATCATCAGAATAGTCCCCAGCATAGGCAGCAACCTCCTAGACGATCCAACAGGATTCGACAAGCTCCTAATCACTTATAGGATTACTACTGTGATACTGTTATGAGGCATGGCTCATCACCTCATCCAGTATCAAAGGTAGTTTCTTTGCTACACCTTGAACATACTCACATGGCTTTTTCGGTGACAGTTACAAATATAAGTGAACCACGATCTTATAATCAAGCCATCAAGTTCGACTGCTGGAAAGATGCCATGAATACAGAGATTAAGGCCCTTCAAGACAACAACACATGGGAATTAACCACTTTGCCTCCCAATAAGATTCCCATAGGGTGCAAATGGGTTTATAAGGTAAAGATTAAAGCAGATGGAACAATCAACAACTCGGTGTGGATTACATTGAGACTTCTTCTCCAGTAGCTCGCCTCACCACCATTCGTTCCTTTCTAGCTATAGCTACTTCGAATGATTGGCACATCCATCAATTGGACATCAACAACGCCTTCTTGCATGGTGATTTTCATGAGGAGGTTTACATGACACTGCCTCCCGGGTTCCAAGCTACTCAACCTAATCAGGTCTGCCGGTTACTTCGTTCCCTATACGGCTTGAAACAGGCCTGCCGTCAATGGAACACAAAACTTACTGCTGCCTTAGTAGACACTTGTTTCACACAATCGAAGTCAGATCCTTCACTTTTCACTAAGGGCTTTGGTTCATCATTCATTGCCCTTCTAGTTTATGTCGATGATATTTTGGTTGCCAGTGGAGACATCAATCTTATTCATGATCTGAAACACTTTCTGGACACTACTTTTAAAATAAAGGACCTAGGCAGCTTGGGTTTTTTCTTTGGCATCGAGGCAAACAGGTGTAAGTCTGGCTTGAATTTATGTCAGCGCAAATACACCTTGGACATTCTACATGAAGCTGGTTTCATCGACTGTAAACCGGCTAGTACTTCGATGGTTCCTGGCCACCATTTGATGCATGGAGATAGTGAGGCCCTGAAAGATGTTGGTTCCTACCGACGATTAGTGGGGAGGTTGCTTTACCTCACAGCTACAAGGTCTGACATTAGCTATGCCGTTCAACAACTAAGCCAATTCATTGATGCCCCGACTGAGAAACATCTCGTAGCTGCTCATCGTGTGTTGCGCTACATCAAGGCTGCACCCGGCGAAGGCATTTTCTATCCAGTAAACAATCCCATACAGCTGAAATCTTTCTCAGATTCCGATTGGGCCTCTTTCATGGAGACTCGTAAATCCATAACCGGCTACTGTGTCTTCTTCAGCAATGTTCTTGTTTTTTGGAAGTCAAAGAAGCAGGCTACAGTTTCGAAGTCCAGCTTCGAAGCAGAGTATCGAGCTTTAGCCACCACTGTATGTGAAATTCAGTGGCTTCACTCTCTGCTCCAAGATCTACATGTCCAGTTAATGAAGCCTGCTACCTTATTTTGTGACAATAAGTCCGCTGTGGCGATAGATGAAAATCATGTTTTTCATGAACGTACCAAACATATCGAGATCGATTGCCATGTCATTCGTGAAAAAGTCTCCCAAGGCTTCATCAAGCTCCTCTCCGTCTCTTCTGATAATCAGGTTGCCGATGGGTTTACAAAGCCTTTGCCTATTTCTCCGTTTCGTTTGTTTGTATCTAAGTTGGGCGTTCAAGACTTACACACGCCAACTTATGGGGGGGGGGGGGGGGGTGTTAGAGGATAAAAATATAGAACAGAATAGATGAGGACAACTTTTTAATTTCATCTTCTTTTTCTGTTATAACCGCTGGTTATATACTGGCCTTGGGGCTATCTCTGTAACACAGTTCACTTTACCATCTTTCCTTCTTCAATGACAACTGCTATTCACATGCTTCCATAACACCATCCGACACCTTCCTATAACCTTGTGTGGACCAAAACAAGATCTGCTAAAATCATAACCTTTGTCAGCATCAAATTAATTTAGATGAAAGAAACTGCATCAGTTTAAAAGCAAGGGTTCATTGACGCATTAAGCAAAAATGACCATATATACCTGCATATTAACCCTTTCCTTTTTGTTTAACTTTGCAACTACTTTGGGTAACACTAACCATAAAACTAATTACTAATTAGTCGTGCTAGTGTTCTATATTCCCATAAATTGTTTAGCCTTTAACCATTTTACATTCCAGTTTACATATACACAGATCAGATGAACAGGGATTAGCTTCTATTCTTACTTGCAGTGAAAATATGCTAATTAATAATATGCAGTGAAAATATAAAACTGGTATTTAAAAGTGTAAGCTGACAGAAGAAAACTAACCATATTATTCTTTAAGCCTTTTCTTGTGTTCAACAATCAAGTAAAAACTTTGATCATGTATTGGGTGAACAACCTAAGTAAAGAAAAGATGAAAGATAATCAAAACAAAAGAATCACCAAAAGGTTAATGCAAACAGTTGTACCCTTGGCACGTGACAACAATAAATATGCCTGAACTACTTGAAGTCCCTTACATACTCTACTAACTTAGAGACATCTTCCTTTCTAAAGATGTCCCAGAGAGCACCATCATATTCTTCAAACTTAGCACAACCATTTCCCTTAGGATACCCTATATTCTAAGTTCCATTATTATTCTTCACAAGTTGACAACCACCATCATATTTTTTCAAACTCAGCAAAATCATCAGCTAATATAAAGCAATATCACACAAAAGAAAATTGCTTAAGAAAATAATCTACAGAGTACAACAAAGAGAGCACATATCAAGCTATATAAAGCAAAGATATTGTAAATACATGAGTAAAGCAAAGAGAGCACATATCAAGCTTTGCAGTACTAGAAAATTTTATATAAATCAAGAAATTGTAAATGAAATAATTTAGGGTAAAATGAAATTAGGATTTAGGGATAAATGGAATTAGGAATTTTTTGAAACCAGGAATTTAGTGTTAGGGTTTAACATTTAGAGTAATAGAACTAACCAGCTTGGAAAGACGAAAGAAGCCGCGGAAATCGTTGCAACAGTTCGCAATTGCACAATCGGTCAGTCGGGCACGACCGACACAACGACCACCCACGCGGCGGAGAGGAAGCAGTCAGCGTAGAAGCATGTAGCGACGACCGAAGCAATGACAGACCTTGGCGGCGACATTTCTGTCGGAGACAATGAGCGATGGTCGTCAGTGGTTGTGGCAGAGGAAATGGCGACTGCCAAACGGCGGTCAGTGACCATGGAGAAGGTGGAGGAGATTTTGATGGAGAGGGTATCGACCAAAATTTATGTATTTCCCGCTCCATAGGTTGTTCAATGGTGCTGAGAAGATGAGTTTGCGCTGTGAGCAGAGAAGAGTTTGCCACGGGAAACGACTACATGGAATGATTTTTTTTTTTTTGGTTTGAGAGGGAAATTTATTTTTTAATTAAGCGAGCAGGAGTAGGGCTGACTTAAGCGTTTAGAGAAAAATTTTGTGAAAATGAGGATTCTTACCGCCCAAACACTTAAAAATTTCAATTTCTGTCCAATAACAATGTTGGACGGTATATAATAACACCTATTATTTTGCATCTCACCAACCGGTCAATTCAATTTTCCGACTAATGCACTACGGTAGGACGACATTTCCGTCCAACATTTAGTGTCGATCGGAACTTCCGTCCAACGCGTGAATGTTGGACGGAAATTCCGTCCAACTTTTCGTCAATCCCTATTTGTGACTTAAAGTTGTGATTTTTTACAAATTACCGTCCAACATTTTTGTTGGACGGAAATGTTGTACGAAAATAGCGAGATTTCCAGCAGTGCCTAATTTAGTCATTGACTGTAGTTGTTTTTACCCAATTTAGTCATTGAATATAGCGATTTTTCTCAATCTAGTCATTGATATTTGATTTTAACAACTGATGACTCAATTAGGTAAAATCATCGACGTCTAAGACCCAATTAAGAACAAAAAGAGGTTTAGCATTAAATCAATAAAAAATCACTATAGTCTAGGACTAAATTGGGTATTAACTCTGTAAAAAAAAAAAAAAAATATCTTGAACATTTTCACCATTACTTTAGTGTGACACTATTTATTTGGAGGCACCACCATTCTTAGCTAAGCTACCATGATACAATTAGCCTTCTTTTGAAGCCTTACTTGTTTCTTACCACTACCCCTCCCTCCTCTCACCTTGAGCCTTTAGAGCAACCCATTTTAGTGATTTTTTAAAAAGAAATTATGATCGAAGAAAGAGAATGTGATGTAGTAGAAAAGAGAGAAAATGTTTTTGCAAAAGAATTTATTTTTCAAAATACGGAAAAATATATTTTTTTTCTATGTTGGAAGAAAGAGAATGTGGTGTAGTAAAATAGAGAGAGAAAATGAAAGCTTGTTTTTGTAGAAGAAACAATTTTTTAAAAAGAAGGACTATAATAGAATTGGGTAGTTGAGAGAATCACACATGGTGCTTGAGGGATTTAATTAATTCGGGTGTTCCGAATTAACAAATTCGATAATTAAGAAAATAGCGAATGGATAAGCAAAATAGGTAAAATAAGTGTTGTAGGGTTGCGGAGACCAAATATGTTGTATTAATAACGGAGTTGTCAAGCTATTACAATAATGGTTTAGGACAAAATGGATAGAACATGTCTTAATGAGACAAGAAGGAAGCTATTTATACATGCCAAACCCCCTAACCGCCCCCTAACGCGGTGGGGTGGTTGCATTTCCCGCTTTGACCGCGTTCGGGCTCGCGGTTTGACCAGTCGAGGCCTCGAAGCCAAGTTCTCATGGCCGAGCCCTCATAGCCGAGGCTCCATGGCTGAGGCCTCGCAATTGATCTCTCATGACCGAGGCCTCGCATACCAACCCCGACGGAAGAGCCTAATGGCCCAGTGTCAAAGGATTCGGGTCGAAGGGCTATCACCCTAAGGGAGCTCGAGGTTCGACATTGCGTACCAACCCAATGGAAGAGCGTAATGACTCGGGTCAACAGACTCGGGTCGAAGGGCTATCACCCTAAGAGGGCACAAGGTCCGACCTCGTATACCAATGGTGCCCAATGGTCGTTTGTTCTTTAGATGCTAGTTGAGAGATTTGATTACCTGACCTTTTGTTTTTCACATGTTATTCATACCCTAGATTGAAGCCCATAGAAAGATTTCCAAAAAAAAAAATCACAATTAGGCATGCTTTTCAAATCTTGTTGAACCCTCAAACAATCAACTTCAATTGAAAAAATATAATAAAAAATGTGTACAAATTGAAAACATTAAGAAAATGGAATAATTAAAAAAAGACATAAAAGAAAGCATTAAAGCTTTGTTGAATTTAAGAGAATGTAGTAAACTTTTTTCTAAACTCATAAATGAAATTCAAACATAAATTAAATGATTGAATGAAACTTACTAGCCAACTAGTAGGCTAATATTATATCTAAATACATTAATAAAGAGAAAATATAAGATAAATAAACAATAATTAAATTTATCTAAAGCTTTAAAGCAAGGGTTAAATTAGCATCTTCATTCTCTTGACATTGACAAAACTTGGTTGCGTCTTCAAAAGGCTTTTCTAATTGATTCAACAAAGGTAAAGTTCCATCGATACTATTACGCTCCATTGATGATCCAATGTTGCTCCTTTCTGACCTTAAACCATGTCCCCCAACAAAATTTGATGGCGCTCCCTGTTGAGGACGACTAATAATAGTACCAACGGGAAGTTCCTTAGAAAACAGTGCAGCAATTGCATTTTCGTTAAAAGTGGATTGTCGCGGTCGGATTTGAGCGATTTGTGATCCAAAATACATTGGTGCACGTGCAACATTGACTATAGGTGAAATGGCTGCATCTTGTCTTATATGATGTTCAAAATGGGATAAAAGTTGTTCGATGGTTGGAAAAATGAGATCACAAACTCGACAAACTATTGGATTCTGAATATTGATTGGAACATCTGCATTCCTATGTTGGAAATTAAAACCATTTCCTGACATGACGATGTGATCGAAAACTTAAGAGTAATAGCAAAGAAATAAAAACAAAGAACAAGAGAGGATTCTTTGATAAAAGAGTAGTAATACATATGCGCAGATATATATAGGTGTAAATTGTAAGCTAGGGTCCACAAGGAATGCGTACTTTTCACTTATAATAGATATAATTTAATTTATTTCAAACAAATAAATGGAGTATCAATTCAAACATATTTAGTCCATATATTATTAAAATTTTCAATTTAATTTCTATATTATTTAATACTGAGTTAATACCTAATTTAGTTATTGACTATAGTTATTTTTTTTTTTTTGTCCTAAACATCTTTTCTTTTTTTTTTCTTTTTTTTTTGTTGCTTAATTAGGTTATGAATTTTGATAGTTTTAGTAAACATATTTATTGTTTTAATTATAGACTATTTTTAAATATATAATTTCAATGACAGTTGTATTGTAATTTTTCGTGGTAATAAAATTGAATGGTGGATGAACCTCCTTTTTACGACTGCAATTAATAGAAATTCCATATTAAATTTGATTGGTGGACCAACTTTCTATTTATACACTTACATTTATTATTCACAAATTGTCACTCCTAATGTGGAAAATGCATATTCGGAATAAATTGTTACTCCTAATATGGAAAATGCATATTTGGAATAAATTGTCACTCCTAATATGGAAAATGCATATTTAGAATAAATTGTCACTCCTAATATGAAAAATGCATATTTGGAATAAATTGTCACTCCTAATATGGAAAATGCATATTTGGTAATTATTGTGTATTACCTTTTGGAGTGATAATTGTAGGGATGGTTAGTAGTTTCCTTTTCAATAATATACAAATAGAATTTTGTTCAAATGCGGCGTTTCTCTCCCATGCGGTCGTGCAGACTCATCTGGACCATTGCTTGCGTTTAGATCAACGGTTGAAAATGAATGAAGATTGGAAAAAAATGTGGTGGCATTTTGATAAGTTCCTACACCATGTATATTTCGGTGGTGCACTATGGGTCAAACTATCTATGATGTCCCTATATTATAGTGTTTTTTTTTTTCAATTTAGTCCTTATACCTTTATTTTGTTCAATTTAGTCCATGTACTTTCAAAAGTTGTGTAATTAAGGATAATAGTTGACGGTGTTAATATTACTGTTAACTTAACTTACGTGGCGCTGACATCATCACTGTCACATCATGATATTTATAATCCTACTCATATATTACT